GGGTGAATATAGCTCGTTAGCAGCCTCGCACCGAGGACCTATCCATGTAATCATTTACCCAGAATGCTGTGCATGTAAATAAAATGGCTCTGTCCGTGTTAAAATATATTTAAAAAAATTACAAAACTAAACAGCCTACAGTATTTTTAGTCTTTATTTTACAGTTAAAATAAATGCTTATCAAATAAAGTTTAATGTTACAACTAATCATGGATCCCTTTTAGGCCCATTCCTAAAATACGTATTATTAAAAATTTATGTTCGTGTTTTGTTCTTGTTTGTTGAGAACCAAACTGAGAAGATTTAAGCCAAAGGTGTCAAACTCATGTTCACTGAGGGTCATAATAACATTATGGTTGTCATTAACATCAATGTTCTGTGTTTAACAACTAAAACATCACGTTCCTCATCAGCTGAGCACGGCTAACAAACAATATCTGAGCTCTACCTGGTATTTCCTGCATAGAAACAATGTTTTAACACATCCTCTTAACACTGAAAAGTACTATGTGTATGACTGATTAAATGTGARATAAATGATACMGRAATACTATTAARTACTGAGTTTTACTCAGTGCTGACCTGTGGTGAGTAGCTGCCATCTTGAATTCTTAACTCTCCCACWTCCTGACAGAAGATGTGTCTCAGTTCAGGGGCCGGGTCCTCACRAGTGCACATCTGTCGGCCGCGTACGCCACTGCACCGAGCGGAGGACTGTCCCAGTTCAAAGACTCCTCCTCATGCGGCCGACAAACCCTCCAAATCTGAGGATGCATCCATGTATCCTCACCGGCCGAGGATGTCCCAGGATTCAATGAAGACGGTGGAGTTTGTTTTTAACGAGTCAACGTAGTTTGGAAATTCACCATGGACCGAAGGATTTGTTTTTAAAATCAAGTTTAGCAACTTAGCTGATGAAATTTATGCTGCAATAAGATGTTAAAAGAAACGCAACTACAAGTTATAAGATTAAAGTCATACTATGAGAAGGGGGTCATAATATTCTAGTTTTTACATGAAAAAGCATGCAGTCATCACTGCATTAAAATGAAGAATGTTGTCAAGTTGTTCTTTAGTGTTGCTTAAAATAAATAATCTTTTAGCACATTAGCATCAAATTATCAGTAGCAAGACTTGGAAATTGTTCAAACGACTATATGATAAACTGAAGCTGTATTGTAATCAATGGATGCATTGACAGATTTAGTCGTTAGTTAATTTGGATGAAAGCGTATTAATCTAACAGTGATCAGGTCATCATGGACTACTTTATAAACACAGAGAAACACCTGTCTGTACACAGCAGCTGTGAGGAAAATAAGGAGGAAATGAGGAACAGGAAATGGACACGTCATGTATTTTG